GTTGCTTTCAGAAATATCATAACAATTTTATTTTGAAATATAGAAACAGTATTGAAGTTAGAAGTCTAAGAAGGAATTACATAATTAAAATGTCAGCAATGACATATCTTTTAGAAATATAACATAAATCTTGTTTTTAAAACATATCATTACATTTCAGTGGTAGCTAGTTTTCCCATGAGTGGCTGCATAATTAGAAAAATTTGCTGCACACATATAATAATAATTTTTGTAGGTAAATTCCCCCACCAGGATTTATTTTAAGAAAAGAATCAAACTAAAAATAAACACTTTCATTTTACGGCACAATTACTACCAGTGAGATATTACTGCAGTGAACTCTCTGATTTCCTTTTAGTCTAGCATCATATTTCTCTGCCTGCCCCTTCTGTTAAGTACATACAGTAAAAAAAAAAATTCTCATTGTTGGTTACTACTCATTAATTTGGAGTTTTTAATTACATTTAGATGGTCTTAAATCATGAAAATGAGTAAAATGAAGCTCAGGGAGGGAAGGTTTCTAGCAAGGGAATAGCAGGGGTTGCTTTACAGGGTCAAGCACCTGCAGACATACTCATGTTCTGCCTGTTTTCCAGTAAGATCTTCCTTGAGGTCTCATCAGCAAACCAACAGCCAGATTAGGACAATGTTGTGCTCAAGTCAATGTGATCTGAAAAGAGGTACCAGCATGAGCTTCTCTGTAATAAATAGGATGACAGCATTACATTGGTTCTAGGGTTTCATCAAACCTCTTTCAGCTGACAGAGGAGCTACTATGTCTTTGTGTTCATAGGGCACCACTATTATCTTTAGTTCTAGCAGTATAACCTTTTCCAACAGCATGCCTTTTGTGTTCTCTTATTCCAATATATCTCTTGTATCTGAGAGTGTGTCTGTGTTTGTTTGGGGTTTTTTCTTCCAATAGCTACCTGCTGAACAAGTCTTGTAAGTTTTACTTCAGATGCAATTGTCAGAGACTGTCAGTAAAGCTCCCTACAGAAGATAACATCCTGGGACTATACTGGAAATTCCAAATATATTAAACTCTTCTACAGATCTTTCTGATAAGGCAACCTGAATATCATTAATGCTCAATGTTGTTCTCTGTCCCTTCTCTCTTATTCTGAGACTTCCTCTTCTATAGGGGCTTGCAAAAGTTTATCTCTGGAGGATGGGTGATCCAGGGCTTGTCTTCAGATGAAGCAAAAACACGAATGGTGAGGTGAGCCCATCATTCCTCTTGACTGCAGCCCCTCCTGGGCCAAACATTGCATTACCCTGTTATAGAGGTATGTTAACCAGATAGACTTGGCTCCCTTAAAATATTGAAATTTCTCACTGAATTTGAAGCATTAGCATAACTGCTAAATTCTAATTTTAGTGTGGCCTAATCTAATAATCCGTGCTAATTGTAGATGCTAGAACCAATAAGGGATCATGCTGTTCTCCTAATAAATGTTATAGAATGCAAAGCTTCCTTTGATAAGTACCTGAACCACCTGCTTTATCACTTCCAGATCTTCAAAAGAGATCTACCATGAGAGATTCCCAACCATAGAAGGGCATTTCTTCTCAAACTTTTACATGAGCAAAGACTTCAGGTAAAACTGGGGCCTCTTCTCTTTCATTGTCAATTTCTAATAACTATTATAGGATTATATTATAAATTACAGATGTTTTTATGGCACACCTTATGCTTTAAAGACTGTATTCTGTCAGAATCAGCTTAATAGAATTGCATGGCATAGTATGGTGTAAACACTTGAGATTTATTAGCAATTAACAGAATTTATTTTCTTCCAAAAGTATTCACTAATAAATTTGAACACTGTAGATTTAAAAAATTTGATTATTTCCATTGACTAATAGACTCCGAAAATAATGCAGTATCTGATAGCATTAAAATATAAAACTGCTTCTAGTCTGTGAAAAGTGTAAAAATAACTGTGAGAACTACTTTTCTTCTGTTGCATTACAGTAATGTATTTTCATGATATATAGAAAATGAGGGTCACTTGTTCTACTCTTTGTGTAGCAATTCCAAAATATTGTAACTTTGCCCTCTCTCCTAAATCCAATCTGACTGCTTGTTTTCAGTACTATGGAGATGCATGAGGAACTGGAGCCTGGATAGCACATTTTTATCTATTACATAGCACAGGACATTTAGAGGTGTGAGCACCTAAGGATGAAGGTAAGCACTGTTTTTTTTAATATCTCACTACACACTAACAATAGTAAATATTCCTCTGTGCCCTGGAAATTTACAGCCATCTGTAAATACCTAAATATCTCCTGTTAGTGGCCTTTTCTCATTCAGTTGTGGAGATTTGATTTCTTAGGTTGCCCATGACCACGAACGAGATCTAGATCACCAAAGCAGTCCATGAAGCAACAGCAACTGCAATGAATCCTATTTCACTCACAAACAGGGAAGGAGAACAGCTTGGGAAAGAGGGAGGGAGGGAGGGCTGTATATCACATGTAAAATACAGTAATGGATGGGGCAGAAATACCCCAAGAAAATTGCAAGGGACAGAAGACATCTGTGGGTGCAGGCAGGAGTGGCACAATAATGTATTATAGGCTTATGATATAGTTGTCCTTCTTTAAGATCTGGGTGCCTGAGAACACTGAAGAAATAAAACAATTTGAGAGGTGATAATCCTGTATTTACAGGACAGGTAACAGGTGTGAAGAGGACAGAGCAGGAAGGGCACCTCCCCTTCATCCCTAATCCCCAGTGCATTACTGGAGCTGCATGTGAAGAACAAAAGTAATGCAGACACACCCTTGGCTATTGCACACAGCTCTGCAGATCCACCCTGGCTGACATTATCTACTTTCAATAAACTCTAGTTTGTTTTTACATGACAAAGAATGAAAGAACACTACTAAGGGATAATTAAATGCAGCATGAGCCCATTTTTATGGGATCCCTGAACAGGGCTGATTTACTTATGGCACATCAGTAAACTCTTTTTTTTCACCCTTATATTTTAAGAAATAACTACACTTGAACTTGATACAAAAATGCATTCTTTTATATGATTAACACATTTGTGCTTAATGTCTTAATTTATAGTGTTGTTTTAGCCACTGGGTATATTCTAATAGCATGAACAGAGTTTGGGGATCTTAGCACTGAAGGAAAAATAATCTACAAGGGGGGACAGCTTCTAGCAGGTACACCTAGCTTTGTACTTTAGAGCAGGGCCCTGATTCTGAAAGTATTTCCTGGGAAAGAATTAAATTATTATTGTGAGCAAATCAAATAGCACAATGTAGAGAGAAAAAGTCTGTAGAAGATTCATATAACATTTGAAATTAAGAACTAGAATTGTAGTAGAATTAGATGGCAATGTACAGACCAATTGTCTGGGATATAAAAGTCTTTACAGTGGCCTCTGTGAATTGAGGACACCCCAGCATTCAAAGCAAGGACAGCTTTAAATTTTAATTTTTCTGATTTTTATTTTTTCCCTTGAGAAAAGTACAAGTTTTGATTTAAAAGATAGACACCAAAGCAATATGTGAATTTTTTTATCAAAGAAGTTGGTAGAATACTGAAAAGTAAAAAAATCAGATCCTAGAAAGCAAAAATAAATTAACTGTAAGAAGCAAACTTTCAGGAATTCTCTGATCCTGGGAGAAGAATCAGGAATTTTCTGCAGCAGCATTCACACTGGAAAATGTTCACCAAAAAGGTTGTATGATGACCCAACTGTGATGAGCTACAGAATTCAGAAATACTGGCAAAAGGAATATGTTTCAGGCTTTTATCTGAAATTCCACAGCTGTTTAAAGAAAATAAAAAATACAGGTGTCAGAGGAACCCAGGACAGGCTTAAAGGAGTCTCTGAAACATAGCTGAAAAATAAGCAGAGCACCTACTAAAACTTGAAGTTAGTCCATGTAATATGTGTCAAGTTGCGCTTTTGAGCTACAAAAGTAGCACAGCTTACCTTGGCTGCTTCAAGCAGTTCTGGAGATGCTCAGCTGTAATTAGCCAGGGCTGGGATATTCTGTCTGTCTAGATTCGTACTGTAATACTTTCTCCCAGTTTCAAGTGCTCTTGGTTATAGAACTGCCATGGAAGTTATGATTTTAGGGGTTGGTTGTACACCTTGACTGCACATGGAATGTCTAAGTTTTGACATATCATATGTTATTGCTCATATTTCTGAAGGTAAAATTGAGACCTGCTAAGTAAAATAAAAAGGGAGTGCAACAGAGAATTTTCTTTTCTGCCCTTTTCTCCCAGGTTCTCCTTACTATATGAAGTTAAAATTCTGCATCCAGTTAAATATACTTTTTATTTGCTTTTTGGGTTTTAATAATTACTTAATATTAATACTGGCAAGAAATTAATTTATGAGGGCACCTGCAAAAAACCTTCCATTTTTTTCCTCATACACTACTGGTCATTTTGCTATGCTATCTTCAAAAAAATAAACTAAATACAGTAAAAATCAGCTTTCACTAATTAATTCAGTTTGGGATTCACTTAAAAACACCACAGAGAACAATTTGCATATGAATCATCACTACAGTAACAGATTGAATGAACATTACTTTAATTCATGACCTCATTCAATCAAAGCTTCCCCAAAAGTTCCCCATGAAATTCAGTTCATTGTTTGACCAAAGTCGTCAGACTGTAGGAATTGTCTTTACCTTATTAATTAAGACCCATGTATTAAAGTTGGGTTCTCAAAAGTGCTCAGCAATGGCTTGGCTCTTCAGCTGAAATTATCTGTAAAACTTACTCTGGTATGAATAAAATGGGAGTCCAGTCACTGCTAAAGAGCTGTTTGCAAATCCTATCTATGTGTCACTGTAAATTGGTCTGATTCTCTTGCCTTGAATTTTCTGCAGCAGAGTACACACAAAGGGTGCAAGCAGCCAAAAAACAGGGCCAGCTTCAGGCAGTCATCTGCTGCTCAGCACAGCAGCTTGCCAAGGGTGGGTGCCAAAAGGTCAACAGCTCTTCCCACTTGCCTCATCTATGCCAGAGCCTGGGAGAGGCAGCTGACTCTCCTGTCAGCTATGGGCAGACTTCATTTCATCCCACAGCTTCATTTCCTCTTCCTCCCCCTTTTTGTTTTCCTATGGCAAAAATGTGCTGGTCACAGGCCCAGATCTTTGCCTTCAGGACAGGAAGAGTTCAGCTGCTGGTAGCTGCAACAGCACATGTCAGGTACCAAAAGAACCCTCTTCTAAATGCTTTTTTGTTGCTGTTTACAGTGCAGTTCTTTTCTGTTTCTATTATTCCGAGCAATTTTTTATTTCTTTAATTGCTTCTGTATTTGGCAGTGTCTTTTAAAAATAATTTTAAATGTTCATTTATTTTTTATTATAGTATACATTTAAACTCAGACCAGCTTGGAATTACCCAGGCCTATATGTTAACCCTTTGAAGCAGGCAGTCTACATTAAAGGTGCAGTGACATGCTCACAAAATTATATATATAGTTAGAATCTGCAAAAACAATTCTCTAAGGCATTTTTTTTAGGCAAAAATAATTATCTCTTAGTATGGAAGAATGCTGTCAACCCTACTTGTTAGCAGACAGTTATTTAAAAAAATATTTCTGTTGTTGAGCTTTTAGTAATTCAGGGAAAATATTCTACTGGAAGAGAAGGGACTCAAGTAATTTTAGCTGAGAAGACTTCACAGTTAACTTTCAGTGTTGAATTTGTCCAAAGAGCATTGTGAAATATGCTCTATTCTAAATGATCAAGTAACTTCAAATTCAAATCCAACAATGGGATAAATCTCACTTAGTTAATCCGAAAATCTATTCTAGATCTGTAACTTGCAGTATTTCTCAAAGGAAAATTAAACACATATTCTGAAAAAATATTTACAGACTATATATATAAGAAGTATCAATGTATGTGTATTGCTGTTTTCATTAGTAAGTTTTGTCACATAAGTCTTGAATATTATAATGTCTGATAATAGTACCTTTCTATATTATCCTTTTATTCCCCTTCCAAGGGAAGTAATTTTGCAGATTTTTTTTCTCAACTGATCTTTGACAATTAAAATGTAAAAGTAAGAGGAAAATGAAAAGTAAGAAAAAAAAATCAAATATTTGACTACCATCTATAAAAATAGATTATTGTTTTTCCTCTCTTCTTTTAGGCTTCCTAAGATTAACAAATTGTCATTGCAGTCTCTGATAATGCTGAGACTGTTTTCAACAAGCTTCCATCACAGGAAAAATTTGCATAAAATAAATTTCAGTTCTATAGCAGAGGTTAGTCCTGAACCAAGTATTTCCATGTCCTAAAATGAATCTTCAATTCATGTCCTTGTAATAAATGATGTAGCTCAATTATATTTTTGTTTCTTCTTTAATACTTTGATCCTGTCTGAGAAATCCTCACAAGATTGCAGTTTGTTTCTATTTTGTAGAGTTTCCTGACTGTGAAGCCTGCATATCCATTTAAACAGAAACTGCTGGGCCAGAGTCAGAAGAGGCTGCACGGCTACAACATCTAACTTGTATCAAGCAATCTAAACTTGTGTGAAGCATCTGCGCTCCTTCTTCTGGAATCACAGGTAGTGAGCCATGCATCATATTCTATGTCACAAGCTCCAAACAAGGTATGCTGTAACCTTTCTCAAAAACTGGGGAACAAAATAAAAGGCTAGAATTGTACCACTGAGCTCTGAATCCATCCACACCTCTAAAGACACAAAATATGGCTCTTGCCTTTTTCCATCTTTCAATGTTCTGAATGGAGCACAAACATAAAAGTGATTGTTCTTTAAAAGGACCAATGTGCTTTGGGATGTGGGTTGACCCTGAACATCACCGACATAGCTGCTCCCTCCCTCCAGTTCCCACCTCAACTAGCAGAGAGAATATGAAGAAGTAAAAGTGAGAAAACTTGTCTAAAAGCACTTTAGCAGGGGAAAGGAAAAGGGAAAGGGGAAAGGAAAGGGAAAAGGAAAGGGGAAAGGAAAAGGAAGAAACAAGTGATGGAAAAGCAATCACTCAGCAACTTCCACAATGCCCATCCAGTCAACAAGCAATGAACCCTTTGAAGCCAGAAAAATCCACCTCCTCATTCTTCTTTCACAGACTGACTGAATTTGTATTTTCCTTCAGGAGACACCATGATTGCTTATGTTTAACTCCACACAGCAGCTTCACTCTTCTTATGGGTTTCCAGAAAATAACAGGGTGCATCAGTGAGCAGAACACATTGCTTTTAATTTTCTGGTAATTCATGAAAAGGCAAGGCCTCTTAGGGCATGATTCACCTCCTCAGGTGATGCTCCAAAACACCTGCCTTCTGGCCGGTCCATGATCTCTTCCACAAATCCTGAAGAGTTTTAGTTCTCCATTTAAGCATGCAGTGTGATCAGTGCTACCTGCTCAGTCTGTAGTTTTGGATTCATATGTAGAAAGGACCGTTCCATGGCAACTGCTCCTGAAGGAACTTCACTCTCCTACATGCTGCAGGTATCTCCTCTACATTCAGGAAGAAACTGGACTTAGATACTTAATATTTCCAGCTCCAAACTCCTAGAGGTCGACCTTGAGTCTCTGAGTGCTTCCTGCCACATGCTCTGTGTGGATTGCCACAGGATTACTGCACAATCTCTACTATTTGGCCCATTCAAAGTCTTGCCTAGGATCTCACTTAAGTTAGTTCTTATTTTGGGTCACTAGGCAGAGAGGTCTCACAAGCTGATTGTAATGTGGAATATGAGCTCTCCAGAAACGCACAAAGCTTAGGATGCCATTTGGATTGGAATATAGTCATTCTCTTATTGTTCCCATCCAGTGGCATGTAATTACACCTCTACTGTCATTTCATATCCAAAATCTAGATCTTCTATGCAGGTTCTTTCACTCCATAGGAGGTTTTTAATGGCTAAGTCAGCTTTAAAAAGAATTTTGGTTGTTATTTGGCTTTTCTCAAATATTTCCTTTACTGCTTTGCCCACAGTATGATATCAGTGGCAGGTGATCAGGGTCTTTATGTTGTTCCAGTGTAGTCAGGATGAGCTCATGACAAATGCTAAAGCTGCTCTAGATATTGGGTATCTAGTTCCAGGTGTATTGAACAAATGTGCGTATGACAGCAAACTGAATTGGAAAAAAAATCTGAAAAAGTGCACAAGGACTATCGGTTGGGGCATATCACTTACTGTCTCAGACTCAATTTCACATTGGAGTTCTAGCATGTTCAATATGACCACACTCAATGGCCACATGGCTTAATTGACACTATGAGAGTCCACTTTTACCAGATTTTGCTCTCATCAGATGGGACTACCACAGAGTGATCGAGTCTGCATGTTCACTCCTTGGCTCTCCAAGTGATAAATTAGGTCATGGGAACCAGGGAGCCTTGGTAGGGGCAATACTGCCGCTAGGACTCTATCACGGTAACTCGGTAACTGAGATCTGCTGTTCCTCAACAAGCACATGACACCCATAGCCTTTTGGATCCTTGGAGTACCCTATTCTGAGCTAGTCCTTGCAAGGATACAGCAGCCTTCAGGCCAGCCACAAGAGGATGCTTCTGCCACATTTTTCTTGTTAAGCTCATCTCAGCCTCCAACACAACGAACTGTTGGGATCCTACTCTCATTTCAGAAATCAAGAGATGTTCTTCCCCTTGGTACCCTGGTGGCATTAGGGTACACAGTGCACCACTTATGCACTGAAGTCTTATATGCCTGTTTTTTTGGTGTTCAGGCTAACAAGTCCCAAAGAAATGGGAAAAACCCAACTTCTTTATCACAAAATAAAGGAGAATGATGATAAATTGCTCAGTTGTGGCTAACTGAAAATGTCGCAGAATCAGAACTCACAAAGCAGACTGGAAGTTTCAAATTTAGATGAGGCTTCAGTGGGGTTCAGGCAACAATACCAGCAACCACTGTGTCAGTTCCATCCAAGTCCTACTCTGAACATCATCTTTTAATATTTCTTGTCTGGTATTGGGGGTCTTTTCTTCTGGAGCAAGGAAAGCTAGCACTAGGACAATACTACAGCTGTTTTAAATTCTATTCATATTTTAGTGAAATATAATTCAACATATTTTGGGTTCTCTCTTTGAAACTTTCACAATCCTATACATGTTGAACATGTCTCTATTCTCTTCAAAGGCATTTAAAGTTTTCAGAAGAAGGCTACTGGTTTTTAAATAATAATTAATAAGATATGTCTTCTTTTAATTCTTTCAAGTCCACTAATGTTGCTGTGTGTTCTAGTCCAGACTGCTTTTCAGGAAGAGTAGCAAATGGATTACGTGACAAGAAGATTAGTTAAAAGGTTAAGACAGTGTTCATGTTCAGAGAAAATATTTTATTAGTGGCAGTGAGGAAGTTATGGGAGACAATCCTCATTCTGCTTCAGTATTGCCAATAAAAACAAGAAAATCAAAGAGGAAAAGTGGTACAGATATAATCTCCTGAAATATGTGTAATTTCAGCTCTGCAAAACAAAAGCTGTGTTATTTCTCTCCCTCCTTCTTCCCCTGTCACCTTCCCTCTGTCCCCTCAGCCATGCTTTGTTCATTCCCCTCCTCCTTCCTTTTTTCTCTCATCTTTTCCTCTCTCCCATTATATTCTTTTAGTTTATGGAGTTTACAACTTCTTACAGCTTCTTAAGTATTTAATCTCCTGATATGTAAATTTCTTATGCTATTTATGGAATTTACAGGCTTTTCAATCTTAAAGCTAAAGAAGCAGAACTTGTAAATTTGTATAAACTAGTAAGTATATATTTTCCTATCCATATTTAGGTGTGCATTTATGCAGTTTAGAAATTTTCTGCAGTTGCAGAAGGGAGAAGTACAGAAATCTATCTGAAGTCTGCCATATTTTGATTAGTTGATCATTTTAAATAAGGTCAGGTTGCAGATGAGATCCAATATAGCCCCAGTCTTACAATTTTTATACTTTGTAACTTTCTCACAGTAATATTACCTCTGAGATGAAGTAATTAATTCTTTATGGGAAAATTATGTCATATAGACATCTGTGAGAGACTTATACAGAGGAAAAAGATACATTGCCTTAAGTTTTATACTGTCTCCATATCTGAGTAGCTGGTACCTGTCTTAAATTTGTTAAGACATAGGTCTGCTACCACTAACATTTTCTAGGTTGATAAATGCTTCTGTTTTCTTGCCTAATTTAATTTTTTGTTACTTTAATATAAATTCTTTACTTCCTACTGAGATGGGATTTTTTGTTTTGTTTTTTGTTTTGTTTGTTTGCTTTGGTTTGCTTTGGTTTGGTTTGGTTTTTTCCATCAGCATTAATCAACTTCGTATCTGAAAGTAACTGGTAAGGAGGGGATTCCAAATACCTTCCTCTCTGAGATAATTATTTGAACAAAGCCATCGACTCTTCCAGTGGCAGTTTGGTTTGATCATTGAAAATTGCTCCAAAGAAAGAGAGAAAATATGTCAGCTTTGGTTTCCCTCTCATCAGTTTGATAGTATGATTATAGTAGAAAAATAAGGAAAATGCACCAATAATGGCTAGTGGCATATTTTCTTTTGCTGATGAGGTTCAGTCACAATGTGTATGTTACACTTTTTAAAATTCTACTTTGCTTCTCTAGAATCAGACACAGAAAATTATGGATAAGCAAAAAGAGATCAATCTATGTTCCAGGAAGGGGAAAATGAATCAAAAAAGCACTTTATTAGTAAAAGATCTACTGACTGATAGTCAAAATCTAGCAACTATTTTAAGTATAGATCTCCATGCATTTGTTGATTTCAGTGTGTGTCTACAGGGACTTATTGCTTTAGCCACACTAATCAAATCTGGACTTCAGCAGTTGAACAAAATGAAGCTGACTCAGTTAATTTCCAAGTGTGGAAGTCCACCAGGAGAAAAAGATAGAGTTAAGCTTAATTGTTACCTATTAACCTTGACTAATACTTTACAGTAAAATCACAAATATACATTATAGTAGCTTTCCTTCTCCCTGTCCTTGCAGTCTGAAATATAGATGCAGTCTAAATCCCATTGACTTTCAGTACAATGTATTCTCCCTGCATTCATTAGATTTTGCTGACCTGAGCTAGGCACTTCTATAAGAAAACTTTTTTTTTTATAAGAACAACTTTGAAAACCATTGGGGAAGTAAGGATAAAACTTCATGTACTAAAAATATAGAATCTATTTCACAGGAGACAAACTACATAGAGTATCGACATATGGTGAAAGAGTTCAGAATAGATGAAAATTTCCTTTCTTTAGACAAATACCTTATATTCCAGATCAACCTGTGATATTAAGCTTGACTATCAGATACTTCTGGCCTCTGACTCTTTGGAAAATAAAGTGCAACACATTCACCATTAAAAAAATCTTACAAGGAATAATAGGGAAATAATTACAGTCAATGCTATTTTCACAAAATTAGAAAGCTTTGAGTCCATGTGAAGACAAAAGAAAAGATTGACTGTAACCCATATTAGGGATGGAAAACAAGATAACCAGCTGGCAGTCAGAAAAGATAACTATCACCTCTCTGATACCACACTATTTTTAGAGCAATGTTGAACTGGTTGTAAATATTTGCAGAGAAATCATACAGGGGCTAACTGTATAGTAAGCAAACT